GGAGCGATGCGCTTCCCAGGAATCCGAGGGAGCAATGTGTTTCCCAGGAAGCGAAGGAGCGACGCGCTTCTCAGGAAGCCGAGGAGCGATCCGCTTCCCAGGAAGCCGAGGGAGCAATGCGCTTCTCAGGAAGCAAAGGAGCGACGCGCTTCCCAGGAAGTGAAGGAGAGATGTGCTTCCCAGGAAGCCGATGAGCGATGCGCTTCGCAGGAAGCCCAGGGAGCGATGCGCTTCCCAGGAAGCCGAGGAGCGATGCGCTTCCCAGGAAGCGAAGGAGCAATGCGCTTCCCAGGAAGCGAAATAGTAATGCGCTTCTTTGGAAGCCGAGGAGCGAGGCGCTTCTGAGGAAGCCGAGGAGCGATGCTCTTCCCATGAATCCGAGGAGCGAGGAGCGATGCCCTTCCCAGGGAGCGAAGGAGCGATGCGCTTCCTGAGGGAGCGATGCACTTCCGAGGAAGCGAAGAAGAAGCGCCCTCCAGGAAGCCGAAGAAGCACTAAGCTTTCCAGAAAGTTGAAAGACTTATGCGCTTCTCAAAAGGCGAAGTACTAAGCTTCCTAGAAGAGAATAGTTGATCTTGCCTCACACAAGTAAGACATTAACAAGACACATGACTTCCTGACAACATGGACGCGACATTGGTGAGACACCCTACCTAGGTCACAATTATGGTCTACTAGCGCTAACAACAATGGACTAGCAAAGGAACTCTTAACGACTTGAGAGCTCTGGTTCAAGACATCGAAAGCCAAGCAAGGGGCAAAGGAAATGATCACGCAAATCGCACAAGGGGCAAACCGCATCATCCGAATTCGTAAGTAAGGCAAATTAATACACGATAAACGCATTATGTTACTCCTTCCATTCTTACAGAATACAAGAAGTAAAGGGGAAATTGTTGGGATATGGATTAATATGCCTACACGACTATAAACGGGCCCAAGCCCACCGCAAGGCGTCCCGGGCCCAAGCCCACTCAAGGAGGCCCAAGCTCTATATAAGGAGGCCAAAGCCTCCAACCCAAGGATCCTCTCTTCCCTTCCCACACTCTTACCCTATGGTCTCTTTCTAAACTCTCCCTCTCTACATACCATAAACCGCATCCTATATCGTACTAACTTGGGCGTCGGAGCGTAGATCCTGGGGGCCGCCCCCCGCCTCACAGGTTCTTCCACTCCCGAGGAGATCGGACGAGGGAGTCCAGATCGGAGCCCCATAACCGCTTAGTACATTCTAGGCTCAAACAGGTTGGAAGAGAGTTTGAGAAGTGTTGAAAGAAATGAATAATGAGTTCTATATATAGAGCTAGAAAAAATATGATCGTTGGAAAAATAGTCGTTGGAAATATGACGGTTGTAAAATATGGTCGTTGGTCGATAAATACAAAAAAAACCCATCAGACAATACTAAAAATAAACACTGAAAAAAAGGAAAAGCCAACGAGTCGCATGCCCTCTCTCCTCCTGCATGGTCCCCCTCCTCCTCCTTTTAACGTTTTGTGGAGGAAAAAACCCTCTCCCAATATCCTTCTTTTCCTTTTTTCCCATTTTATCCTCCCCTTTTGTGGGTATTCTCATCTTTTTCCCCTCCTTTTTCCCATAAAAAAATCCTTGTTGTGGCTAGTCTAACAAGTCATAGAACAAGCAGATTCACGAAGGCAGTGGTCGCTTTAACGAAACTCCGAGCCACTCAAGCATAGCTCTGGTAGAACCTGCCCCTTTATCTTCTTTATTGAAGATAGATGACCCCTCTCTGTTTAGACCGACGTCAAATTGCTCATATGCACCCGCTTTTCCAGACTATTGAAATAGACAGAAAATTGACAAAAATGTGGGGAATTCTAGAAGAGATGAAGCAAAAGCTTAGGGAGGAAAAGGTGAAGGAATTGCTTCAATTAGTGCTTGGAATAAAAATGCCGAATGTGGATCGAAGTAGGAGATGAAATTGGCCATGAATTTCGGGTGCCTGAATTCAGATTTGAATCTAGGATTTGGACGATAGGAAATGAGGAGGGATTGAGGATTTTTCCCCAAATTATACAAGTTCTTAAAATAAATTCTCAAAATACACATGTTTTATGAAATATTCCCAATCTACACATGTTTGGATTTCACCGCGGCCGTCGGAAGCGATGAACGTCTAACCTATGCCGAAATTTCGAACGAACGTAACTTCGCACTCAGTTGATCCGAGATCGTAGCGATTTTTTTTTATTCCGCATAATTTTTCAAAATCTTTCAAGTCGCAAACAGGCAGAGGCAATTTTGTCCAGCCTTTGTCCCTAACAAACGTCGTTTGCTATCCCAAACGAACAATTTTTAGATCTCTTCAAACTTTGGACCGTCATAACTTTGTGCTTCTTAACCGAACGTTATAATTTTTTTTTTATTTCGATAACTTTTATCATGGAAACAAAAAGGGAACAAACTTTTGAGTTCTTTTATTAGAAACTCATCCACTTCCAAACATCACTTTTTACTCAAATTCTACTAATAAAAATTGGGCCCAAATCTCTCATTATCCAAATTCCTAATCCAACCTGAGTTAGGCCTTCAGAGGTTGCAAGACTTCATCAATGAATTGCTGGGTAAGAGCACTTGGAAGCCCCATCACAGTGTCGGTATTTCCGATCTGCAAGCAAAAGACACCCAATTTACATTAACAAGAATCACTGGATAGATTTTGGCAATGCAAGTTTCTCTGTATACTAAAACCCACAAGAAAGCTGAAAGGGAAAATTAAAAGGCGAACCACTGCTTCAACAAAGGGCAATGTTAATGGATGTTCCAGCATCAGACCTCCAGCCACTTTGAAAGTTATTCCTTCCTCGATCTTCACAACATCATTACTTGGTCAATGATTGAGCTAAGAGAGAACAAGTAAATCAGGAGGGAGATATGAGTCCATGCCCGAATCGCTTACCAAGCTATCGATGATTTCGTCGGGTATCTCATGGAAATATACCTCTGCTCTCTCCCAAGTGACCCTTCTTGAACCTGTAGTGAGATTGGTTACAAGTATAGATCCTACGACTGCAGCATGACCACCGGAATAGCCTGCAAGCAACAGCAAACTCAATCCCAGATGAATATCAGAGATGGGCTGGCTCATTAGAGAACTCAGTAAGCAACCTTTTATGAATTCCCGTGCTTCGTCCTCACTGGTCGGCTTCTCTCTCACCACTCCTTTATATACCACCACCTGAAGTCCACACAGAACTTAATATACACAAACTAGGAAATATGACCACGTATCAAACAGTGATGAATTCATAAAACCAGTTAATCCGTCCAAGTAATGAATGAGGACCCCAAGTATAATTGCTCGACTCAACCAATGCCGATCAATGCTGCATCACTGTGATTATTGAACTAGTATCTTATGGCATTTATTAATGGGATACTGCAAATCAGGTTCTTTAAGTTCTACTCGAATACTTCTAATGAAAATTTGAAGCTTGTGAGATTGATGGAGTGTTCATGCCTCAGTCAGAAATGAGATTGCCCTAATGAAAACAGTTCAGTTGTTTCTCCATTGATTCGTAGCTTAGGACAATGAATATGAATGTCTATGGACTACGCATAACAGAAACGGAGAAATTGGCTATGAATTCAATCATACCGTATCTGCAGTAATCAACAAGGTCATATCAGTATCTTTCTGCAGTTGACCGGTGTTCAGAAGTCTTGCTATGATGGCATCTGCCTAGGAAAAAGCCCCAGATAAGAATATCGACAAACGGAACTTCAAAGCAGAATCAAAGGTCAGCTAATGGAACCCATCCCAGTTTTGCCGTAACTGCCATAGAATCAGCATCTACTATGAACAGACAAATTAAAGGCACCTGAAGAGAAGTCATACCTTAGCTTCAGCTAGAGCCATCACCAATTCTTCCGGCTTGTCTTTCCTTATACTTCTCTCATCAATATCTGCAGTCTAAAATCCCCAAATTCTCAGTCAATTCTTCCACAGAAAATCACAGGAACTCTTCCCGTTACGGAAGAGGAATAAGAACTCACCATGACTCTAAATTCATAACCCATCTCAGCTAGAATCCGTCGCCGAGCAGTTGACGCCGAACCCAAAATTATCTGTCACAAATTATCACGACCCACTGTAAGTAAAATTGAGAATGTTTCTCAAATGTGTAAGAACTCCACCTTCTCCCATTATTTTCGGGAATTCTGTGGGAGGTCGCACGGCATTGAACCAATTCCAACGTCCAGAGCATGGATCTCAAATTGTTGGCATATAAAACATAAAAACAATGCATCTCAATCAGAAGAACCTGAAACGAAGGTTTCGACATTGATGCCGTCGCCACGTCTAGCTTCGCACCAATGGCTCTGCGTGGGGGAGACGCCCTGCTTGTGTTCGCTGTGTGGGGGAGAAATGAAAGAAGATATGCCCCTCCTTTATCACTATCTACGAGTTACTCAGTTAGTATAGGTGTCAATCCGGCGGGTTTGGGCGGGGTTCAATTGGGTTCGGGTTCAAATGAGTTGTGGGTTAGTTGGGTTGCGAGTTTATCGGGTTCGGGTTTAAATGGGTTGCGGGTTCATCGAGTTCGGGTTCAATCGGGTTGTGGGCAACTCAGGATGCGGGTTCATCGGGTTTTGGATCGGGCGGGTTGCGGGCGAATCTGGTTTCAGGTTGTTCGGGTCAGCACATCGAGTAACTTACTCATTACACGTTACCAACTTACGCATTTTATTACACTATTTAAAATATTTTTCTCAACTTTTTAACCAATTTATTTCTACCTCGTATGTATATACTTAAATTTTTTGAAAAAAACTAGTCAAAATGATAAATCAATTTGTGTGACTTGCAAACTTGTTATGTAATTAATCATATTTGGTAAAGTACACTAGCTAATAATAATGTTGATATCAATATTTGCAACCAAAAGACACCATTAATTGTTTATTTGATATTTTAGTATTATTTCAATAGTAATTGGATTAAAGTATCTCGTTTAGTATAACCATGCAAATCTGGTATTTGGAGTGTGGTATTTGGCAAAAACAGAGTGATAAAAGGAGTTATTTCGAAATAACTCATTGGCCAAATAACTTCGTAAAATGTTGCCAAACGAGTTATTTGTAAAATTATTCGAATTATCCTAAAAATTGAACCATTAAAGATTAATTATCAAATTTAGTAAAATTATTGTGACTTCAATCATAACTTACTTAATAACATATATCCTATACACTTAGCCTTACCCTCAATCGACAATATTAAGTTAGTATATGTTGTTGATTGTATACACTAAACCATCAATACATTATACACTAACCACATACCCTATACCCTATACCCTAACCATATGTCCTTATGAGTTGTGATTTTGCTAGTATAGTTAATTTAAAAGTGAAATTCATACTTTGATTTTTAAAACATAGATAAAAAGTGATATTTGCTAATTGTTATACCCTAACCATCTATCATATACTCTACACCACATATCTTGTACCCGAACCACGTACCATAAACATAAATTAAAAGGGATCTCCTGCCGTTAAAGACTTCAAATGACTTCAAGTGAACATATGTTAATAAAAAACTTAGTTTCGTCAAAACCATCAATATCTTATATCCTAATCATATACACCCTAAATCATCTGTACCTTATACCCTATACCCTAACTGTATACTTTATACCCTACACAACTAACCGTCAAAGATTACTTATAAAGTTTAGTATAATTGTTTTAACTCATGATTAATTTATTTATTAGTCCATAAACAATTACATACATATATATATTAGCCTTCAAAGCATATAAGAATAAATTTAACTAGTCATGCCCTCCATATAAAAATTAAAGATTCATATTTCAAAAGTTAAAATTTTGAAAAACAAAAAAAAAAATTAAAGACACCAAATTTGTTTCCTTCTTTCTTTTCACAAAAAAAAATAAAAAAAAATGTCTTCTTTTTTCTCCTTCCATAAATTAGAAACACTCAATTTTCCCTCTTATTTCTCTTTTATAAAATTGAAAGAACCAAATTTTCCTCTTCCTTCTTTTCACAAAAAGTTGAAAACTCAAAATTTTCCTCCTTATTTCTCTTTCATAATCAAAAGAACCAAACATTCCCACTTCTTTCTTTTCCCACAAATCAAAACCACCAAAATTCCCACTTATTTCTTTTCTAAAACATTCAAAGAACCAAATTTCTCTCTTCTTTCTCTTCCCAAAAATTTGAATACACCAAAATTTCCCTCTTCTTTTAAAAACGTCAAATTACCAAACACATTACTTTAATTTATTTATATTTAATTGTTAATTTTATTGAATAGTTAAATTAACCAAAATTTTAATTTATATATTATATAAATATTTTCCATGATCTCAATTATTAATTCTTCATTATTAATAATGACATTATGTTGATTTTATATTTTATATTTACTTTTTTAATTTTGTTAAAGAACTTAGTGTTCAAGTGACGTTCATGTTTCAATTTTTGTAATTTTCTTAAAATGCATAATATTAAGTGAGTTTCATATTTTTTAAATTCCCTATACGAAATGAAAATAATTTTACTTAAATTTAGAATGAAAAACTTTATTTTGAAAAACTATGTATTGTATATTATAATAATTATTCAAGTGGATTAGGTGAAGTTCGGGTTGAGTCGGTCGGATTACGGGTTAGTCGGGTTCGGGTCAATCGGGTTTCGGGTTAATTGGGTTGCGGGTCAGTCGAGTTGCGGGTCAATCGGGTTCGGGTTAATCGAGTTGCGGGTTAGTTGGATTGCGGGTCAATCGGGTTGCGGGTCGGGCGGGTTACGGGTTGTTGACTTTTAGTCAATTAGGGTTGCGGGCGGGTTGATCGTGTGGGTTAATCGGGTCGGGCTATGTTTTGACACCTATATCAGTTAGTGATTAAAATTCATTTTATATTAATGAAGAATAAGTCCTCTAGTTTAATGAATGGCGACATATCAGTACTTCAAATTTATTTTTCAACACCAAAGGACACACTTGAGCCTCTTTATAAGAGTAAATTTACCATATAGTTGGTAGGGTATATGTATTTTTTTTAAATACTAATTATTAGTTGAATATTCTTTGCATTTTATTTTATTAGGAAAATATATTGAATTACTACTTATTAGTCAAATGTTAATTTTCGGCTAACAATTTTATTAGTAATATTGATTTGGCAACATGATATTGATTTCGAAGAGACACATGGAGTTTAACATTCAAAAACTTGAGTATTTAAACTAAGAAAAGAGTTATAAAATCATTAACGATAACAAAAAATGACTAATTTTTTATACACTACAAAATATTTGACTAATTATTGACAATTCAATAGGTTTGGCTAATATATTAATTTCTCCAATTTTTTCCTTTAACGACTTAAGCTTAGTTCCATGAGTTTCAATTTATCGTCGAGTTGTTGACTGCTAGCCGAATCAAGTACTCTTTAGTCTTTATCTATGCAATTTCGATTTTACTTGATAATTTTATGATCTAGCTTGCTTTCCACAAGCTATTTTGCTTCATTCATAACGCTACATTAGATTCAACAACTTGACACTTGTTGATGCCTCTGATTGACCCAATAACCATCTTCTTAATCAAACACATCATTTCCAACTTCTACTTTTGGATTTAAAGCATATACCTTATTTTTATTTATCTTCTCCATACTTCTACATCGTAAAACACGAGTGAAAGCACATAAAAAAGCAATGTTTGCAAAAATTTATGTACTAACAGTAACCGGAAAACTTCCCTATCAAAGCATGCCATTAGACGGTATTATTAATATTCAATGGTTGAAACACAATTTATCTTTCTTTGATTCCTCTACTTCTGTCAATTGTTCTAGGGTTACTGAAAGCGTAGCTCCGATCACCAGTGTTTTTGATATGGCAATTGACGCATCTGTTTTGTCTGTGCAGGCTTCTCCGGTGGATGCGACGCAAAAGCAGGGGCTGCAGGACCTAGCCGTACCAGGACGACGGCCGGACCCCTCTTCTCAAACCTCGCCTCAACAGATGCAAACAACAACGAATCCTCCAGTTTTGAACTTCAAAGCAGCTTTGGCGGGATCGGTGACTCACTCCTACTGTCACTCTAGAAAATGGCCAAGTGTAACCACTTCCTAAAGCGTAGTATAGCGGATTTGGGTTTTATTGTCAACCCGGGTCCTAGATGTGATGACTACTCGGTGAAATCTTGTTATCTAGCAGTGAACTTTTAGTGCAACTCAAGCAAACAAAAACACAAAGCAAGTAAACGGTTGTTGTCAAGTCAAGAGAGGTCACCCTGATATGATTCCCCCTAGACCGCAGTTAAGTCGGATTGCTATTTACCAAGTTCAGTTTTCATGAAAGTTATACTGCGGAAGGTTCTTGATTAGTCCGAAGTCTCGACTAAAGGTCTTCAGACCCTCTCAATCTGAGTCTCTAGCGGGCGACTAACCTCCACCGGAGTAAACAGATTGAGGCCCTAGCGAACCAAACCTCCACTACCGAATTGAATTCGGTACAGAATAGCGAATTGGCTCCTCGACTAAAGTCACCAATTCGACACCTTCGATTAAGGATACTCTATCAACCTAGGCAGATATTCTCATTCTAGGTCAAAGCAGAAACAACAGGAATTTGATCAGGATTCAAGTCATTCAATCATTCAAACCTCAATCGAATATAATCAATTCACAAACTCTGTACTTGGGTTCATACAATCAGACCTAACATACAAATCTAGGGTTCCCCATACCCAGATGAATGGGGGAACTACTCCATAGAGAAAGAAGCAAAAGCAGATTCAGACGCGGAAATCATACTGTGAAGGTGGATTTCTGCTCCTGGACGTTTAATCGCACTTCTCCAAGCTCAAGTCGGGCTCCAATGGTGATGAAGATCGATCTATGGCGCTTGGGAACTCTGGTTCGTCGCTTTCTCTCTCTAGGTATCGCTTTCTCTCTCAAAAACTCGGAACCCTCTGAAAATTGGTCTTCTTTCCCTTTTATCAGCTGCCATCGCGATACCCGGTCGAAATACCCGGTCGGGTATTTAGGGGTTCGACCGGGTATTATCCAAAACGCGCCGTTTCAACTAAGGGGAAAATCCCCGGTCTGTCCTCATAATCCCCGACCGGGGATTTTAGGCATTTGCCCGGGCCCCCTTCTGCTTCTCACGGACGCCCGAAGTGAAAAATACCCGGTCAAGGCCAGACAATACCCGGTCGGGTATTCCTGCTTTTGGCCGGGTATTTTGGTCCAACAGCCTCCTTCGTCCCAACTTCGCTCCTTTCGACCCGGAACTCGTTCCTCCGCCTCGATTCCAACGCCGGGACCTGAAATGTGACATAAACACATACCCTAGCGTGAAATCGGCTTAAAACACGAGATTCCTCACCACAAACGGCTTCAGAATAGGGGTGAAAACATG